CAGGAGGCTAAGGATAGCAAGTTCAAGACCAGGCTTGGCAATTTTGTGAGACCTGTAGCTAAGAGGTAGAGCACCCCTGGGTTCAATCCCCAGTTCCTCCAGTACCACAAGTAAAAGGAAAGGAAGGAAGGAATGAAGGGAAGGAGGGATGAAGGGAGAAAGAGAGGAAGGAAGGGAAAGTTTGTAGACCTCTGAGAAAGACAATCAGTTGAGTTTGAAGACCATAAGATGAGCCTTTATTCTTAAGGCTTTAAAAGCTTATTAGAGGGCTGGGGATGTGGCTCAAGCGGTAGCGCGCTCGCCTGGCATGCGTGCAACCCGGGTTCGATCCTCGGCACCACATACAAATAAAGATGTTGTGTCCGCCGAAAACTAAAAAAAAATTATTAAAACAAAAAAAGCTTATTAGAATTTTGCTTTACATTTCTGCTTAAAAATATTCATGTATCTTGCTTAATGATTTTATATGCTAGTAAAGGGATTATAAACCTAGAGATATCTTGCTAAAGCAGATAGGATCAAGCACTTGTTTTGCAGGATGCTTCAGTGCCTAGAACAGAGAAGTAATACATGTGAAATATAGTTACTGATTAAAAGGTAGAAGAATTGATAAGTAGAGGAAAATGGGCAAAAGAGAGCTGATAGAGGGGCTGGGGATATAGCTCAGTTGGTAGAGTGCTTGTGTCACATGCACAAAGCCCTGGGTTCAATTCCCAGCATTACAAAAGAGAGAGAGAGAGAGAGAGATGACACAGCCTTGTAAGCTTGCTATTTGTAATGGGGAGGGAAAAAAACCAGTAACTGGGCATGTTATTTAACACAGCAATGTGTGTGAAAAGTTGGAAGGTTAGGGTTAGCCTTCTTGTCCCCTACTAGGAGAATTAAGATGATTTTTTAAAAATGACACAAAGTTTCTATTAGCTAGATTTTTAAAAATTTATTTTGGTGAGAGTGATATTGGTGAGATTATTAACTAATACTTAAAATTGAAAATAATACATGGGCGTGATAAAAAGCCAAATAAATTTTTTTGTGTATGTGTGCACCAGGGATTGAACCCAGGTTTGCTTAACCACTGAGTTACATCCTCAGCCCCCTTTTATATTTTGAAACAGTCTTTAAGTTGCTTATAGCCTTGCTAAGTTGCTGAGTTCAAAGAATGTACTTGCAATCCTCCTACCTCAGCCTCCCAAGCCATCTGGCTCACATAAGTGATCTCCTGTCTTTGACACTCCATATCAAGAAGTACAGGAGATCAACATGCTCCATTCTGGTGATGTTACTTTGTCATTTAGGGTGGTATCTGGCAGGTTTCTCTGCTGCAGAATGATTTTGCCCTTTGTAATTACGTCTGTGGTAAGCAGAGACTTGGAGACTATCAAATTGTTACTCTTCAAACTTTTATCCACTGATATCAGCTTCTGATAATTCCTATCTGTATCAGTTATTATGACAATGAGCTGCCAGTTGGAGACCCAAGTTTGAATCTGGGTTTTGACGGTTAGTAGCAATGAAAGTTTGACCCATTCAACCTTTCTCAAGTGTCCATTTTTCCATATATAATTCAAGGATAACATAGTACATATTTCAGAAATTTGTGAGGATTACATTAGTAATGCATGTAACACCCTTGGCACAGGGCCTAGTACACAGTAAACACTAAACAAAGGTGAGGGGGATCTTGTTGGTTGCAACATTTTTTTCCTAATCTTCCTAATAGCCCTGGTAGTCAGATATGCATCCCCACCTGCTAATCTAACCTTCTAATCCAAGAATGGGCTTATTTCTGTCAAGGATAATGCCCTTAGCAAATTTCCCTTTATGGAGGCAGGAAGGCATCTGAGGTGGATCTGAACAGATCTTAATAGGGCAGTGGGAGGAGAATGGGCACATCAGTGGAAGAAGCAATAGGAGCCAAACGATGAAGACAGGAAAGTTCAGGCTGGTTTTGTCTGGAGTTATAGGGAGAATGAGGAGGAAGAGCTGGTGAAGAAAGGGTAGATTGTGAAGGGCTTTATCTCTCGGCTGAATTTGGGCTTCATTTAGTTTCACTTTAAAAGGATTTAAAGTGTTTTAAATTTTAATTATTTTAAAAAAGGAGTATATAATACTATAGTTCCCACCCAAATTAAGCAAATACTATGAAGGCTGTACGTGAATAACTGGAATTTAGGAAACACAGTAGTAGGTGACACTATTTTAAGTAGTAACACAAAGCTTAGGGAATTACGAGGGATTTTAGTTTTACTGAGACTAGTGACCCAAGCCTACATCATAACAAAACATACTCAAATGTCACCTGCTATCTAATAATGATTTTCAAACTGTGATTCAAGCAGCTCAACAAGAGGTGCTACTACAGGAATCCTGAAATGATTGATTTAAATATAAATACATATATACACATACAGATAATAATATATGTAAAACTATCTACAAAGCTAATATTAAAAAGGCAACAAGTGGAGTTCTTGGTAATCAATATGGCATACTGAGCACATTTATAGCCTTTTCCTTTGAAGGACCACATTACAAATATAGATAGCAAGGGGTTGAGGTGGCGGTGGGGGAAAACATAATTCAATAAAACAAAGTATAGGAGTGGGCCACTGATGATCAGGAGATTTCAAGACATTTCTGGAAAGCATCAGATACATGGATGTGTTTACTAAAAAAGAGCTGAGGAAGCTGCTTCCAGAACTGGTGTGATGGACAGAGGAGGACCTGGCTAGCAGAACAGCAGGTTCCCAAAGCAGAGAGGAGGCATAAACGAGGGGCTCAGCTGTGGTTAAATTGAACAGTCATCTCACCTAACCCTATAGGCAGAGTGACGTCAAGCAGCCTGGCATTTATACCCATGATGCAACTCTATCTCTTAGCCCCAGGATAGAAAAAAAGGCAGGATGAGGAGTGTTTTTTTCTCTAAAGAAATAGAGAAAGCTGTATGGAGAGAACTAGAGCAATAAGTATTGTTCTGCATCACATTTTTTAAAACCATATGTACTTATCACTTTAATTTTTTAAAAAAACGTCATTGTCCTATGGAAAGAAAAATTTTAAAAAATTAAAAAAAATCATACATACTGAAATACGTCATATACCAAATTTTAATAGATTAGAGAGCACCAGGGCATTAACATGTGCTGCCAGATTTTCATATGGACTTCCTGCCAAGTCTGGTCATTTAAATGCATTTTGTATAAATGCATTCATGTGTCACTTTTTATGAAGGTCAAAAGCTCTGCCCTGGCCTTTTGTACAATTCAAGTCTGACTATCCTCACATAGTTGTGAAAGGGAGTACACCTCTACGGCACATGTTCACCACACTTAAATGTCCAGCAAGACCCAGGCATTTGGTCATACACATTTTAGTCATGGTATAATGGTCAATAATACAACAAAAAGTGAATGAATAATACATCAAAATAATACTATCTATGATTACATTTTTTAAAATTTGGTACCAGGGACTGAACTCAGGGGCACTTGATCACTAAGCCACATCCCCAGCCCTATTTTGTATTTTATTTAGAGAAAGGGTCTCAGTGAATTGCTTAGTGCCTCGCCATTGCTGAGGCTGGCTTTGAACTCAAGATCCTCTTACCTCAGCCTCCTGAGCTGCTGGGATAACAGGCGTGCACCACCGAGCCCAGTTGTGATTCCATTTTGAAACAAACATTTTAGTTGGGTGCAGTTGTGCACACCTAAAATTCCAGCGGCTTGGGAGACTGAGACAGGAGGATCACCAAGTTCAAAGCCAGCCTCAGCAACTTAGTGAGACCCTAAGCAACTTAGCGAGACTCTGTCTGTAAATAAAATATGGAAAAGGGGAGGGGATGTAGCTCAGTGGTTAAGCATCCCTGGTACAAAAAAAAATTGGTTCTGCTACTCCTCATTCAAGTTTCTGGATTAGGTTTAACTGGAAAATATTTTGGGACTGCAGAAGATGGGCCAGGAATGGTGGTCCAGTGACTTGGGAGACTGAGGCAGGAGGATCACATGTTTGAGGCCAGTCTGAACAATTTAGCAAGATCCTGTCTCAAATTAAAAAAATTTTGAGGATAGCTTAGTGATAAAGTACCTCTAGGTTCAGTTCCCAGTACTGCAAAAGACCAAAAGAAAACAACAAAAAGCAGTCCAATGATGAATTATATATTAGTATTTTGGAAAGAATTCTTTCTTCAGGTCATTACTATTATTTAATACAAGCACTTCATCAAAGTAGTATGAGGAATAAATACAACAGTACATGCAGATGTAGCAAGTTACTATACATAATAAGGGTTAATATTTCTTAGATTAAATTTCTGTGTCTCTGACAAAAATGGTCTTAGTGTCATACAGGTATTAAACAAGTTGTCAGTACATAACTATTTTACAGGGTCTGAAGTAGCCATATCAAGGTGAAACATTCAAACTCTAAAGCTTTCCTAAGTTATTCCACTGGTGCTAGATTATTATTTATATTATATTAGGTAAAGGTCATATGCTACTCATAAGTAAATTAACCACAGTCTCAATCTATGTTTACTGTTTCATTACAGTACCATAAATGAGATTTTATGTATTCATTCTTCATAATGAAGTGCAACAATGACATATAGGCTATCAGTGACTTAAAAATATCTTTTGAACGTTTTTAATGTATTTTTAAATTACAAGGTTAGCAGCAAACCCTTTCAAGAATGCTTTGATTACATTTAGCAGGAAATTATTAAGATAAAGAAAGTATGCTAAAAACCAAATAAATTATCATAATTAAATACATACAGATTGCTAACATTTCTCTTGAAACAGAAAAAAGTCAAGGTTCGCCTGTAATCCCTGCAGCTTGAAAGGCTGAGACAGTAGGATCGTGAGTTCAAAGCCAGCCTCAGCAATTTAGCTGAGGCACTAAGCAACTCAGTGAGGCCCTGTCTCTAAATAAAATCCAAAATAGGGCTGGGGATGTGGCTCAGTGGTTGAGTGCCCCTGAGTTCAATCCCCAGTACCAAAAAAAAAAAAAAAAAAAATATCAAGGTGCATCCGCTGAAGTTTAAGCATTCTTGCACCACTTAGGATCCAACTGGAAATATATTTTTTAAATTTCTGTGATCAAGGGCTGGGGATATAGCTCAGTTGGTATGTGCTTGCCTTGCATACACAAGGCCCTGGAATCAATTCCCAGCACCACAAAAAATAAAATAAAATTTCTGTGATCTTGAAGGTCTTGTCCAAGTTTTAGAGGGCTTTTGTTTTTCTTTTAGCCACTAGATTTTTCAGGAAAAATTCACCTATTTAAGAAAATGAAAATACATTAATATTAATTTAAAGTAAATAAAAGTAAGACTACTATTTCAGAATTATTCTTCTATGATTTCCCTACAAATTATAAAGAAGATTTGTACTTACCAGCATTTTTCTCTTCTTCAATCTCAAAGAAACTATTTTTTAAATCTAAGTATTCCCTATATTTTTGGCTCTTTTTCCCAACAACAAAGAACAGTCTTTTTTTTTATTTTAATATATCATATAGTCTTAACTATCATTGTTTCTTTCTTTTTTTTTTTTTGATACTGGGGATTGAACCCAAGGGTGCTGTATCAATGGGCTATCTCCCCCCTGAGCCATTTTATTTTGTATTTTGAGATAGGGTCTAGCTAAGTTGCCCAAGTTAGCCTTGCACCTGCAAACCTGCCTCAGCTTCCCAAGTTTCTGAGATTACAAAGGCATGTGCCACCATGCTTTCCTCTCAACTATTACTCTTTCTAATAACTCAATATTATAAAGGGTGACCCTATTGTATCTATGGGTCTGCTTCTGTATATTTATTCCATTTTGTGTGCACTATCTATTCCTCATCACTGACAAAGAATTGCTGTTGGCAAAATTCATTTCAGAGAGCAATTTTGTTACATTATTAGCCTGGATCTGATGTTTTTAAAACAGACCTTGTTGCAGTTGAGCACACTCATCTGATGGAATCTCTTCAGCTTATTCCCCTCTAGGGAAGCGAGCACTCTTCATTTATAATGAGCTTTCTCCCCACCCCCTGAGTTGTGCCTGCATAATAAGTTAGCTGTTTAGAGGGGCACATTCACTTTTCAGGCCATTAGGGTTCCATTTAGTTTATCACTTTTATGCAGAACTCAATGCTTATCAGCAGAGCTCAGCACTGGAGGTCTGATTTTATGAGGAATCTGATTAACATGTCTTTGTCATCTAACATATATGAGTAGAACTGCGATGACCATATTCAAACTCAATCACCAGGAATCCCAGGATTCAACCCAGCCAAGTAATCAATGCTGCTCCATACCTCATCTAAATCTGGTAGAAGAACCAACATTATCAGGCTCTCATCCATCACCTGAGTATAATGCTCCAGATAACACAACTCAAATCTTTTACTGGCAACTTAAAAAGCATTTTAAAAGTTCCTTACTCAGGCTGGGACTGTGGCTCAGCGGTAGCACATTTGTCCAGCATGTGTGAGGCACTGGATTCTATTCTTAGCACCATGTATAAAATTTTAAAAATTTTTAAAAAACACCTTGAAAAAAGAAGTTCCTTACTCACTCCCTCAAATATTAGAAATTTTATTTTCCCTTAAAAAAAAAAAGAAAAAAAGAAAAACACCTTTTAAATTATATTACTCTAATCACTCTAGAAGCTGATAGTAGTTTTTTTTTTCTTTTCTTTTTTTGGTGACTGGGGTTTGAAGGGGGGGGGGGGGTGGGGGGTGAGGTGGGGGATGCTCTACCGCTGAGGTACATCCCCAGCCCTTTTTAAATTTCTAATTTTTAGATAGGGTCTAACTAGATTGCTGAAGCTGGCCTCAAACTTGTGATCCTCCTATCTGAACCTTCTGAGTCTCTGGGATTATAGGTATGTGCCACCATGCTTGGCTAGTTCTATCCTTTATACATATTTTTAGCTTGCCAGTAGTTTTGGTTGAAGACTAAATCACATAATTACTGATTTTCAAAGTGCCCATCCTGTCAGTCACTGTTGAATCAAACTTTTGCATTTAATAACTAGGATAAACTGTTAATTCATGAAAATGTCTTAATTTTTTATAGGAACACTGATATCACTAATACTTGAACACCAATTTTTTCAAATATAATTTATGCTTAATTTAAACATATCTATATTTAGACCTCAATTTATAAAATACTCATTTAAAAGAACATTAATAGTAATAACATATTTTAGACCTCAAAAAACACCAGCAGTTTTTTTAAAACTTTTTTTTTTTTTTTTTAGTTGTAGATGGACACAATACCTTTATTTAATATTTTTTATGTGATGCTGGGGATCAAACCCAGGGCCTCATACATGCTAGGCAAGCGCTTACCACTGAGCTACAACCCCAGCCCTCAGCTGAATATTCTTTTTTTTTTTTTTTTAAATATTTATTTCTCAGTTTTTGGCGGACACATCTTTTGTTTGTATGTGGTGCTGAGGATCAAACCTGGGCCGCACGCATGCCAGGCGAGCGTGCTACCGCTTGAGCCACATCCCCAGCCCCATGCTGTTTATTCTTAACAATTATAATTGTTAAGCCCAACTAACAGGAAAAACATCTGCATTTTTTAGATTACATTCAGTCTTCAGATACATACTTATGGACTTACTGATGGCCACTATTAAATAACTTTTTTTTTTTTTTTTTGTAGTCCTGGGGATTGAACCCAGGGCCTTAGGCACACTAGGCACTCTACCACTGAGCTATGTCAACAGCCCTTTTCTTTAAAAAGAAAAAAACTTTTTTTTTTTTTTTTTTTTTTGAGACAAAAAAGTCTCTAAGTTGCCCAGGCAGGCCTTTAATTTGTGATCCTCTAACATCAGCCTCCCAAGTAGTTGAGATAACATATGTCTCACACTGTACCTGGTGTCAACTTACTTTTTATCCCTTAGAAAATGCTTTTATTTTCATAAATCATTTTTAGCAACTGATCAAACAAGTGCAGAATTACACAGGTGAAAAACTGCACTGTAGCTAATAAAGCCATTAAAATTTTCTTTAAGGAAAAATATTGTACAAATTTTTGTTGTTGTTACCTCTAGGGAGAAGCACAAAGAAATTAATAGTGCAAACAGCAATGCTATCAAATTTCAGTGCTTAAATTGATCTGAAATTGGGAGTCTGGGGATGCAGCAAGCATCATTTTCAAATGAATATACATTTTTCAGAAAACCATATTATATGCTTGACATACTTTGTCATTCCTGAATAATCTACTACTGAAATCCACAGACAGAATAATCAAATAAACTAACTGTTCTTATTTTCATCAGAGTGGCTGAGGGATTTGCTAAAGGAACAAACTAGGTTTAAGAGAAACTTCTTAATATATGATCCCTATGGAGCAAAGCTCTAAAGGATGGTCCAGGAAAAAAACACTCTTTTCCCTCTGACAAAAGACAAACACAGCTATTACAATTTGCCTTACAGCTTTAGCGATTTAGGGTAGAACTTAGGGTGGGAAGTTATCAGCCTAAATAAAACCATTCCCTATAGTTTAACTTACCTGCTTTATATGAAGAACGCACCAAAGGACCACTTGCAGTATAATGAAATCCAAGTTCATTTCCTATTTTTTCCCAGTATTTAAACTTTTCAGGAGTAATATATTCTTCAACCTAGACTTAAATAATGACTTCAGATCAGATTCTAGAATTCCCTAAAATAATTTTGATTCTATATAAAGTTTATACACATGTACTCTCCCCAGCCCTTGCCCTCCCCCTTCCTTACTAACCATGTGTCTAGTGATTACTTGATCACTCTATCAGACCACAATAACAGGAAATTAAAAAGGAAGGAAAACATATCAATTCTGTATTACATTAGCTGTTCCAAAGGATGGAGAAAGAAAATGACATTATCTTTAGTAATTATTTAGCTATATTTTTCCTTCATTGATTAACTGGTAGAATCGAGAGGGCTGGAGGTATAGTTCAATAATAGAGCACTTGCCTAGCATGTGCAAGGCCCTGGATTTGATCCCAGCACAGAAAAAAATAAAAATAAAATGAAACAAACTAATTCCCTCTTGAGGAAGACTCTTATTTACCTTATGTCTTCTGCTTAGCATTGTGACTGGCATACTTTATATTTCAAAGTTTAAAAAGGCCAAGAATCACAAAGACTTACTCAACACAACTTTCTTGAACCAATGGATAAATACCCATTACAGTAACAGAAACAGCGCTTCTCTTTCTTACTTCAATGTGGCTCTCACATAATTCTAAAACAAGTCACAGGATCACCAAGTGTCAATGAGTGCACCTTCCAAGTTGTTAATCCTTTTTCTGTAGGTTCACTTGAATCAGACAATTCAGGCAGTGGCAAATAAGCACCAGTGTAGCTGCTTTGTATGAATAATAAATAAATGGAAACTGGAACTTATAAATATACATGGAACAATAGTTTCTTATTTTTACCTATGGACAGTGAAGATTTAATTCAAAATACTAAGAAACACTTGGCAATTCAAGATATCTATACCTTAAGGTGGCGCTTCGTTGGCTGCATATATTGTCCTAAAGTTAAACAGTCTACATCTGCTTCACGGAGCGCTACAGGGAAAGAAAAAAAAAAAAAAAAAAAAGCATGAATTATATTAGCAGATGTTTTATAATATTAAAATTATAGACCTAAGTATAATTTTCCTGAGGAGTATCTCAAAACAGTGTGAATACTGTGCTAGTCCATAATCCTCATGATGGCAAACAGATACCTATTCATTAAAAAATATTTATGTCAGGAACCATAAGGACTGAAAGCATAGGAATAATTAAGATCATCATATGGGGCTGATAGATATAAAAACAAATGACTTTAATACTATGGATTAAATACTAAAATAGGAGTGGAGGGTGTTTTAGAGCAGAAGTCTGTTATGCAGAAAAGGTAAAGGAAACAGAACATGCAAAATCCTGAAAACACCCATATTACAGACCAAACATCCTGCATTAGGCTTTTACTCAATTTTTAAGATATGCTCTTGAGGATATGATTTGACCTCTGATATTATTAGAAAACTTTTAGTAAATAAACTGTATGTATTGTGATAAAAAGCAGCTTTTAATTACTATATGAACTTATTATTTTTTGAACCACTGAATGACTACAAGTAGGCCAAAGACTCAGGGAAAAATAACAACTTTTATATTTCAAAGTTTAAAAAGGCCAAGAATCACAAAGGCTTATGGGAGAGTAAGGTTCGCAAATTCCAAAGCCCAGCATGTTTATGACAGTATTACAAGTAAGCTCTTCTCAAAGGCCTGGGTTGGTCTTATTCTATGAATTGTCAGTGTATTGTACATGACTGGCTCTCAAAAACTGTCTAATGACAGAATAAAAAACACGGGCTAAGCATGGTGGTGCACACCTGTAATCCCAACAGCTTGAGAGGTTGAGAGTGGAGGATTGTGAGTTTAAAGCCAGCCTCAGCAACTTGTCGAGACCTTCTCAACTCAGTGAGACCCTATCTCTAAGTAAAATATAAAAAAGGGATGGGGATGTGGCTCAATGGTTAAGCACTCCTGGGTTCAATCCCCAGTACCCCCTCCCAAAAAACAACCAAAAACCCATGTGTTCATTGGATGAATGGGTGAGGAATGAAATGGGACATGACTTCATATCTCAACCTTTATACATATAATTCCATGAAATACTAAGAAAACATTTTCCTTTTCATATTGCTGTTTACATCATATGTGCACTATGGGTTAAATCCAGGGCCTATAATCCCAACAGCTTGAGAGGTTGAGAGTGGGTGTTACCCACATGTATACAATGTGAGCTACACTTGCAGTCACACATACTTAGTTCTTACTGGCATTTGCATTGAGACTATAGAAGAAACATAAATTGAACAAGCCTCAAAGTGGGGTTCTTGCTATTACTCAAATTAAACAGGAAAGTTTTTTATTTTTAAATTTCTTTACCTTTCATTGTTGCATATACTTGCTCATCATTCTCACCTAAACCCAACATTATTGATGTTTTAGAAATAAGATCAGGCTGAACCTCCTTGGCATGTTTCAGTACACGTAGAGACTGGTCGAAATTGGCCCTGGGATCACGAACTTTCCTGGAAAACAGTAGGGCTGTTGTCAGCAAGAATAACCACAAGTTCAACCAAATACATAGTTACGCGAGCAACCTGAAAGACCAGGAAAGCACATTCTGAACATGATATTACATTATATGGTTCAATGATAACATCTGTATACAAAAGTCTGATAACCTAGGAAAGAAAAAAAGGCCTCAGTGGGCTCCCTACCTCTGTTAACTTAAGGCTTCTCAAGCCCAGGGCAGAGAAAACTAAAAACACAGAAGAAATTGCTTTAGTTTTATGCGTTGAGAAATCAGAATTCTGAAACTCAAGATTATAATAATTATAAGAGACAGTCAAAAGAAAAGAAGATGAACAGAAGTAAAACAATTTTGGCAATGAACAAAGAAAAAACTAACCTGAACCCACATTTCAGAAGGTTGAAACTTTTATGTTCATTTCTTTTCTAAAGACTAAGCTGCCCTCTGCTGGTAAGTACACAACATTGCCATCGCTTAGGTAAAGAAATGTACGATTCTGGAATTTTCACTGGAAAGGATAATGTTTCTTAAGAGAAACCAGGGAAACTGGCACCCACTGCTGGCAGTATCATGACAGGGTTGATAAAAACTGTGTGCTAGACTTCAACAATGGCCTCACCATCCTAGTTTAAATGTCAAGAATGCCAAAAGGTCAGAAAGTTGCTGATGTTAAACCAGCATTCGTTTGAATTCGAATGTAGCTTTCTTTTCTAGAATTTATTTGGGTTTTATTTTGTTTTTGTGGTACAGGGGATTGAATCCAGGGGTGTTCTATCACTGACCTACATTCCGGGTCCTTTTTTAAAATTTTGAGATGGAGTCTGAGGGTCTTGGTAATATGCCCAGGCTGGCCTCAAACTTGTGATTCTCCTCTTTCAGGATCCTGGGTTGCTACAATTACAGGGGCACCACCATGCTCAGCTTACTATAACTTCTTTTAGGTTCTATGATATCAAATAATATACAAAGCTAATAAAATCACAGCCAACACTTAAGGTAAAGAAAATGAACAATATTAATTTTTCTTGAGGTTTAAAATAATTTTAATTTTTCTGAAATTTGAATATAGTCATTATGTGGAACATTTCTTAATTAGTACTAACAACTAAAATTAACTAGGAAGAGTAAAGAAGATGGGCTAGAGATGTGGCTCAAGCAGTAGTGTGCTCGCCTGGCATGCGTGCGGCCCAGGTTCGATCCTCAGCACCACATACAAACAAAGATGTTGTGTCCACTGAAAACTAAAAAATAAATATTAAAAAAAAATTCTCTATCTCTAAAAAAAAAAAAAGTAAAGAAGAATAGTGTTTATATTTTAAAAGAGAATTAAAGTAGGGCTGGGGTTGTGGCTCAGTGGTAGAGTGCTTGCTGGGCACGTGTGAGGCAATGGGTTCAATCCTCAGTACCACATAAAAATAAATAAAATAAAGGTATTGTGTCCATCGATAGCAAAATAGCTAAAAAAAGAGAGAATTAAAGTACATCTGAACAATACCACATTATCTGCTGCATTATTTATTTACTATGTGAATTAGTGGCTTTTTTATTTTCCCAATGCTGGGGATTGAACCTAGGGCTTTGTACATGCTAGGCAAGCACTATACTACTGGGTTACATTCCCCAGTCCCTCAAATGTACTTTTAAGTATTTTCTTTAGAATTACAGCCAAGGCAGTTGCTCTAGTGTAATTATTTTCCATTTGAAAATTCTTCTTTGAAAAGAGTAATACTCATTGGCATTTGCAGAATGATAGTACTTTTTAAAAAGAAAAAATATGCTTATTATGAGCGCATATATCAAAAATTACATGTGTGCAGTGGTGTATACCTATAATCCAAGCTACTTGGGAGACTGAGGTAGAAGGATCACAAGCTCAAGGCCAGCTTCAGCAATTTAGCAAATCCCTATCTCAAAATAAAAAAGGGCTGTGGATGTAGCTCAGTGGTGGAGCACCCCTGGATTCAATCTACAGTACTGTAAACAACAAACAAACGAAACATGTAAACATAAATACAAAGTTGATAGTAACTGATATTACTGGGAGGAAATATTCAGCTTATTTTAATATTATTAAAATATTATTAAAACAGCTTATGCTGTTTTTGTTGGCTTTATTTTCTGATCTTTCTGTAACAAACAAAGAGGGAGTAGAGGAAGGTAGTAGGTAGGGAGGGAGTAAAGGAAGACTGAAGGGAGGGAGGGAGGGAAGGCAAGTTTATTTTGTAAAAGTCAACTGCAAGTTGGCTCCTGAAAAGTGAGAATATAAGCATATTTCGATCCTCCTAACTCTCCCACATTACTCAGTACATGTAATCACCTCTGTAATTCTGGAACTGTTTCTACATTATGTGCATACACATCTAATCCTGACAGTGCAACTTTTTCTATTGCTTTAAGATCTCCTCGGAAATCAGGGGTGAGGCATTCCACAAGAATTTTTGGATTCCTAGGGGAGAAAAAGATAAATATCAAACTGAGGAAAAGAAATGAAAGAATTATTACTCAAAATGAATTATCAATACTTATCCAGTATCAGTTTCAACATAGTAATATTTAGAACTTGGCTAAAAAAAAGCATGGACATACAAATGTCCATATATGAGCTATCATATGAAGAAAAAAAAATATCCAGAACATCAAATATTATGTTCATAATGGTTAAAATACACCTTCATGCAAATAATAATCAGAATAAAACTTGAGATTAGGGCTGGGATTGTGGCTCAAGTGGTAGCATACTCGCCTGGCATGCACGAGGCACTGGGTTCGATCCTCAGCACCACATAAAAATAAAATAAATATATTGTGTCCACCTAAAAAAAAAACTAAAAAAAAAAATATTAAAAAAAACCTTGAGATTAGATAAGACTTTTAAACCTAATTTAAGTAAATTTTTAAAAAATAAAATATGAAATATTAAAACATTAAATATATTTTCTTGTTTGGAAAGAAAATTAGGATATTTCTTATGTGAACACAAATATTACTTGATTGATTCAATTCTGTTTTCTATAATTTATCAAATAGTGTCTTCCCATCTTCCTCTAGGCAAATATTTCACAAGTGCTATAGATTTTAAAAACTATTTTCTGGGTTGCTGTGACTTGAGTTTTGCTTAAATGAAGGACAAGCTAAACATTAATCTTCCTATTTATACTGTGGCTATGTATATTCATTCAAGCATTATAATGTGAACTAGGTCACAGAGCTGTTTCCTTTGACACTAGCAGAAATGATTCAGACAGCTGACAAATTTTTTCATGAACCCAATGGCAAAGTGTCTGGAATTGTTCCCTGAAAGAACAGATTAAAAAAAAAAAGACCACACATATACCCTCTCATGAATACAGAAATGTTGAAAGAATATATCCCAGAACTCACTGTTTTTAAACTTCAAGTTGAGACCCATTAGTGGCTTGAGAAAGAAATTTAGTGGGTTGCAAACATATTTTTATTCAAAAGAATTTAAACAATTATTTTGGTATTGGGGATTGAATCCAAGGGTGCTTTATCACTGAGTTACATCCCTAGCCCTTTTTATTTTTTAGTTTGAGACACGGTCTTACTAAGTTATGGAGGTTAGCTCTGAACCTGTGATCCTGTTGCCTCAAGACTCCCAATCCCACTGTTGTCGTGTATTTAAAAAAAATAATAAAATCAATTAAAAAAAAAAAGACTCTCAAGTTGTGGGGATTGGAGGCATATGACACTGTGCCCAACCACAAATATTTTAAAAAAGGAACTCTAATAGATGTAAAATAGAAAATACTGGGGAATCATTAGAAAAACATTTATTAAGTATGCTAGATGCTAGATAAGCACTGAGTTATAGAAAATGGTCAGAGTTCCTTTTCAGTGCTTTTTTATTTTTTGGTACGGGGGATTAAACCCAGGGGCACTTCATCATTGAGCCACATGCCTGGCCTTTTTTAAAAATTTTCAAACAGGGTCTTGTTAAGTTACCTAGGGCATCACTAAGTTGGTGAGGCTGCCTTTGAACTTGCAATTCTCTTGACTCAACCTCTAAGGTCACTGGGATTACAGGTGTGCGCCCCCATGCCCAACATCCCTAACTATTTTTAAATGATTGTTAATTCAAAGTCAGTGCTCAGAAGACCACAGCTTAATACTTTTTAAAGAGTATCACTTGACATTCAGACCAATGCTCAAATATGAAAAGTGGGGGTCTCATATACTAATTGTCCAGGGCTATGTTCATGCCACTGAACCCCTAAAATGTCCAGTAAATATGTATATGTAAGCACCAATATACTTTATTTGGCAGGGGGGCAGGTGTCGGGGATTGAATTCAGGGGCACTCAACCAATGAGCCATATCTCACTGAGTTGCTTTAGCCCCTTACCATTGTTGAGGCTGCCTTTGAACTCGCAATCCTCTTGTCTTAGCCTACCAAGCCATTTGGATTATAGGCGTGTGCCACCACATCCAGCACCAATATACTTTTTCTGGAGAAATGGTCACATACTTTTCAGTAGATTATCAAAAGGGTATAAAATCCCCCAAAAGGTTAATATCCACTGATGTTTTTTTTAAAAAATTTTTAGTTGTAGATTTATTTATCTTTATGTGGTGCTGAGGATCGAACTCAGTTCCTCACATGTGCAAGGTAAGCACTCTACTACTGAGCTACAATCCCAGCCCTAATAACCCCTAATAACCACTGTTTTAAGGTGAAGGCTTTAAACTGAATTTATATAGCTCCAAAAAGAGTCTTTAAAATACACAAATAAATGCAGAAACAAGTACCTTTCCTTAAGGTATGATACAGTCTTTGCAATGTGCTCAGCTCCCCCATCAGGTATATCTAGAAAGAAAATAATCTGCTCAGGATAATGTCACCATTTAGAAAGTCAATATCTTTAGACACCATGATGACACACTAACCATCTCGATCCACAGATGTCAGCACAACATAATCCAGACCCCACTCTGCAATTGCCTTTGCAGTATTGTAGGGCTCACTGGTATCCAGGGGAGGTGGATTTCTTGCAGTCTTAACTGAACAAAATCTGCAACCTCTTGTACATGTGTCACCCATTAACTAGAATAGAGATGTTATAATTTAAGTCAAGCAGACAGATGACTCTTTCATAATTGCTTTTAACTGAGGACACAAAATATCCCGTTTCCATTTCTAGACTAAAGTTTCAAAGGTTGAGCTTGTCTTACCATGATTGTGGCTGTGGCAGTGGCATATTCTCCACCTCCCCAACACTCTCCAATATTGGGACATCGAGCTTCCTCACATACCTGTAAGTAAAAGGGAACAGAATACAATCAGGTTGAAACTACCAACCAATTGAACAAATAGTGGTTCAGTATTGAGGCGCCCATTGTTTACAACATATTTCTTTTTAAATTCACTATTCAAAAATTCTGTTAAGGGGCTGGGGTTGTGGCTCAGCGGTAGAGTGCTCGCCTAGCATGGGTGGGACCCAGGTTCGATCCTCAGCACCACATAAAAATAAAGGCATTGTGTTGTGTCCATCTACACCTAAAAAAAAAAAATTCTGTTAAACTGCCAAACCATATATTAAGATCTCATTTTTAAATTGAAAAGTATACAAATATAAATATTTTATATGTTTAAAGAAATTGGTCTGAGTCATGCATGGTGGCCCACTCTTGTAATCCCAGTGGCTAGGGAGGCTGAGGCAGAAGGATCACGAGTTCAAAGCCAGCCACAGCAACGGTGAGGTGCTAAGCAACTCAGTGAGACCCTGTCTCTAAATAAAATACAAAAAAGGGCTGGGGATGTGGCTCAGTGGTCAAGTGCCCCTGAGTTCAATCCCCAGTACCAAAAAAAGAAATCGGTCTAAAATGATTAAACAGTTAAGGGGTGTGGTTAATAGTTGAGATTTTTCATATTTAATTTTATACTCTTTCCAACAAACATATAATTTCTATTATAAAACCAACAGGCTGGATACAAGCTGGGTGTGGTGACACAAGCCTAAATCCCAGCAACTCAGAAGGCTGAGGCAGGAGGATTGGAAGTTCAAGGCTAGCCTCAGCAACTTAGCAAGGCCCTAAGGACTTAGCGAGACCCTGTCTCAAAATAAAACATAAAAAAAGGGCTGTGGGGCCAGGGTTGTGGCTCAGTGGTAGAGCACTTGACTAGCATGCATGAGGCACTGAGTTCAATCCCTGGCACCACATAAAAAAGTAAACAAATAAAATATAGGTATTGTGTCTACCTACAGCTAATATATATATATATGTAAAAAAAAAAAAAAGGGCTGTGGATGTGGCTCAGTAAACAACCCTCAGTTCAATTCCCAGTAACAAAAAAACAAAAACACCAAGCTGGGTACAGTGGCATGTGCCTATAGTACCAGCCACTTGAGAGGCTTAGGTGGGAGGACTATTTGAGTCTAGGAGTCTGAGGCTAGTCTGGGAACAGTTTTTACTTGTCTCAAAACAAAACAAAAACCTTTGTTTCTCTAGTTGCAGGGAAAAATCTTGTTTTGTACTATTAAATGAGACATTAATATAATCACCCTTTATTTCTTTTGCAGGAATAATTATTTTCAATGATTTTTATTTGTTTGCTTTGGGCAGTGATGGGGATGGAACCCAGAGCCTTGAAAATGCCTAGGCAAGCACTCTATCAGTGAGCTACAGCCTCAGCCTCTAAATAATCCCCCCACCCCCAATATTGAGGATTGAATCCAGGGCCTTGCATATGGTAGGCAAATACTCTACCATTGAGCCATACCTACCCCCAATGTATTTTTATCATTGGTAATAATGCATTACTTAACGTTTTTCATTCATTTTCCTTGCTGTATTTATATATGAATTAATAATTTCTAAGTTATAAATATGTATAAACATTTATAACCATGGATTAAGATTGACAACTTACTGTATGGAGATTTAAATTCCGCAAAGTATTTTTCAGTTTATTGTAATTTTTCCCCATGGGAATCTCTGTCTTTAGCCATGGAGGTAGTCTTAACCTAAGGAAAGCCAAAGATAACTATCCATTAACAAACAGGCAAACAAGTAATCACACAGCTTTGAAGTTACTTTGTTCTATTATAATTCTTAGTTAAATTTTTTTTCCATAATCCTGGATTAACCCTTATTAATTTCTGCTGTGGGCATAAGAACAAAGATTCAAATTTAGGATTCCTCAAATCACATTAGAAAACACTGATATTGGAATCTAACAGACCTTTTTATATATTTTTAAAATTTTTAAATTTGTTTTAATTAGTTATACATAACAGTAGAATGTACTTTGATATATCATATATAATGGAGTATAATTTCTCTGGTCCTTTTTGTTTTAGAGACAAGATCTCGCTGAGTTGCTTAGGGGCTCCATAAATTGCCAAGCCTGGTTTTGAACTTGCAATCCTCCTGCCTCAGGCTCCCAAGCTGCTGGGATTACAGGTATGCATCACCTCGCCTGGTTACCCAAAGTAATATTAATTCACAGTAAGGAGAGATCCCAACTGTGCACTATCAGCTTATATTCTTGATTTTATGGTGGTGATTAAATGGCAAAATTCTAATATTTGAAATGGAATTAAGTATACTTGGTTTCACCATGACTTTACTACTTACTTATGATCTGGAAGTTGTTGGATAAATATTTTTCAAAACAATTTGCCATCTGCATTAAATTCTCATTATTCTTTTAAATTATAGCAAGGGAGGGAGAAAAGAGGAAATTAATTAGTTAAGGTGAGGTATACATAGATCTTATGTAAATTGACTGGGAGCAGTTAGATCATCAATACCCACTAACAATGAAAATTTTATCAAGGTCTAAATGGGTGTGGTGGTGCACACCTGTGATCCCAGAAGCAGCTCAGGAGGCTGAGGCAGAAGGATCATAAGTTCTAGACCAGCCTCAGCTAGGCCATAAGCAATTTATCGAGACCCTGTCTTGAAATAAAAAACAAAGAGGGGCAGGGGTTAAGTACCACTGAGTTCAATCCCTAATTTAAAACAAAACAAAAAAACAGAAAATCAAGAAAAGATTTCAGCATTCTCATCAACTTACATGTTCTCTCTTTTTTCTAATGACCTTTCACTAAATTAAACAAGCCTGAAATTAAAAATATACTCTAGGACTTGGTTACATCTGAAAATAATGCACAGTAAGGAATGGGACATTGAAATTATCTCAATTACCTTTCTCCTTTCTGGCGTTTTAAGTTTCCTTTATATTCCTCCCAGGTGCTCTTGTCTGCAAGATCCCCAGACACAAAATCTTGAAGATCTGGTCCATTCTGTAAAAATTCTTTTTTTTTATCTGGCAAGGAACTTAATGACCTGATTGGACTGTATAAATATCTTCCAAATACCTAAAGAAAGAGTTCATTATGACATTCATTTAGTGGGTTCTGGGATAATTTAGTTTTAACCCATTATAATATCTAAAAGATACCTGGTGCTATGGTGTATGCCTGTACTCTTAGAGACTAGGGAGAATGAGGCAGGAGAACTTTGAGTTTGAGGCCAGCTTGGACAATCTGGTGAGAGCCCATCTCAAAATAAAAATTAAAAAGGACTGGGGATATAGTTCAGTGGAAGAGTGCCCCCCCCCTTTCATCCCCAGTAACACAAAAACAACAACAAAAAAAAAACCCCACAATAGAACAAATCTAAAAGGAAGGGAGAGTAAAAGCAAAGAAGTGACACAGGAATCATATCAAGTGGTTTACTGCTTACAAAATTGGAATCTAAGATTAAAGAAGAATCTAGAAGGAAACAAACCCAAAGAAGAATAGGAATGAACTTCTGAATACCAAGTTTAGAATAGATTTAAAAACCTTTGAAGTATCTATCATAGATCACACTTTTATGCCCTTTTTACTTTACATTTTGAGACAGGGTCTTGCTAAATTGCTGAATCTGACCTTGAACTTGGTATCCTCTCAAATAGTTGACATTACAAGGGTGGGCTAAGGTGGCCAGGTTCACAGTACTAAAACTTCGTCTTTCAACAAACTTAAACTGCAGTAACTGAAGATGCCAAGGCTATACATTTTCTATTCCTGACTTGAGTCAGATATGTTTAAAAGGAAATTTGCAATAAATCCCTCTAGGTTTGTGTTTGGGGTAAAGTAAACATGTTAAAATGTAGTGCTAATATCTAGTTGGTTCCAGAAAACTGGAAGTAGTAAAACCAAACCTAAGCCCACCAGCCTCTCGCACTAGTTTATGCTGGTTTCTTGGTTTTTGTTTGTTTGGGTGATGCTGGAATTGAATTACCCAGCACTCACACTTGCGAAGGACTCACTTTCCCTTTAAACTACAGTCCCCATCCCTGTTTCTGTGCTAGAACATGGCAGTTAACCAGTGCGCATTTGTCGAGTGTAAGAAACCACAGTATTTGACTTCTAGATCCGAATACAAACATGCACGAGACAGGCAAAACACTGTAAAATTAAAGGGATCTTCAACAGTTCAAAAGAAAAAAATATCTGTTAGAGCACTGCATGATTGGTTGTGCACTTATCCACGTCTACAGAGGGCAGGCTGTGTTCTCAGCTGCAAGAGTGGTGTCTAATATATAGGAAGAGCCCAACGATGTGGGTTGAGCGCTGTTGTGGTCCTTTAAATATAAGGAACAAACCACTCTAAGCAGAAAAAAAAAGACAAAACTAAAACCCCTCATCACCGACCCAGAGAGACCGTCAAACAAAACAAGATCAGGGACTACTTTATGGGGATGTCAGGAGAATTAAACGAGATAACACGATAAACGTTTAGAAAAGTGCCTAGCTGCAAGCAAAAGCGTTGGCCTTCATTACGGAGTGCTCTGAAGAGATGGGAACCCCTCACCCCACGCCTGCACGCTTGTCGCCCCGCTGCTCACCCGGAGCCCCAGGGTGCGAGCAGCGTCCCCGCCGCGTAGAGACATCGCCTCTTTAGACCTAGCAGGGTCGAGGGATCACCAATGCCAGGGAAAAGACTGATCGATAAACCGTCGCTCGGCTTATGACAATCACCAGAACTACTACTAAGCCCGTGTAGCTTGAACTGTTCCGCAATTGGCTGCTTTAGTCTTAGTGGCGTCGCGCACTCATTACTCAATACGCAGAGTCCTTACGGGCTACAAATACGTGATGACGAAAGACGCTCTCTCTTTCCCGTATCTACTGCGAGGTGAGGAGGATACTGTTTTCTGTGGGCCTTGGGAATCTGAAGCCATCGGCTCTAGGAAAGCTAACAGCATGGGTTTTGCGCTCTCAGCTTTTACCCTGATTGTCTCCCGGCGCGGCGAGTGCCGTATGGATCTGCTGGCGCGAGATGCGAGTTCTGTTTTGGGGCTTTAGGCCTAACCCTACCGCTCTGCCTTGCCGGGATGGCGCGCCGGGCTGGGATTCCAGGGTTGGGCCGACAGTGTGTTAGCCAGCAAGGCTTCGTAACACCTCTTTGGGGGCTGCACCTACCAGGCCCGGACGCACCGGAGGCCACTCTTAGTTTGGGTCATCTTATATCCTCCCACGTCTCCCGGCACTTATCTTTGGGAGTGGAACTCTTTTTTGGCGAAAACACTCCCTGCACTGGCCTGACTCCAAGTGTTTGTGTTTCAGAATGAAGACCATTCTCAGCAATCAGACTGTCGACATTCCAGAAAATGGTACGGTACTTGCGGTTTTTCTGATGGGTGTTTACTACGTGTTCCAAGCCTTCTGTAATGTCAGAATTCATTCTCTCTCGTAGTCGACATTACTCTGAAGGGACGCACAGTTATTGTGAAGGGCCCAAGAGGAACCCTCCGGAGGGATTTCAATCATATCAATGTGGAACTCAGCCTCCTTGGAAAGAAAAAGAAGAGGGTAAGGTGTAGATAACTTATGTTTCTCGTTCCGATGGTAGTTATCTGTAATAGCATTAAATTTGGTTGCTTGTAAAGTTTCCCAATTAAGAGCAATGTTTGGCTTTTAAGTTTAGCGTCCAAAATAAATTTTGCTTTAATGAGGTTGGAATATCAGATTCTGAATACAATATACTGTAAAGCTCAATATCTAGTAGTCATTCTCAAAGCGGTTTTAATACTAATACAAGTTAAATTTATTTATGTGATTGCTTAAAAAGTAAGAATTTAAACCAGTAATGGGGATTTTTTTGGACGTGATTTTATTTTCCAGTGGTGAAGTTTGTTGCAACTTGTTTGGGAGTTTTCAACGTGAATCTGCGTGCCTTTGGTGTATAGCAATAAAAACATTTGTCAAATGTAGGAGACTTTGTATGTGGTTGGATTTTCCCAGTTGAAAATCCTATTCTTTAATTGGGGTTAATTCTAGAATCTAGAGTAATTCATTGGGGAAAGAAATGAACTGTTCTCCTTCAAGTCTACTTACTTATGGGAAGTTTTTGTTGTGTTACAGCTACGGGTTGACAAATGGTGGGGAAATAGAAAGGAACTGGCCACTGTTCGCACCATCTGTAGTCATGTACAGAACATGATCAAGGGTGTTACACTGGTAAGCTGACTGATAAAGACATTCCCCCCACTCCTTTATTTTACTTTTGAAAGTTTTCTGAGCTGTAATATGTGTGTGTGTATTTCATAAATAGAGATAGATAGATACATGTCTATGGCCAAAAATGGATTATCTGTACGAGTAGGCTGAGAGTGTGGAACTTTTTTTACTGTAGTGCTGGAGCTCAAACCCATGCTGGTGCCAAGTGCTCTATCACTGAGCCACATCCTATTTATTTATTATTAATAGAAAATCTGCTATACTATAGCACATAGATAGGCTTTGCTTACTAAATGGTAAGCCACCATTAGGACCCTATAACCCTGCCTGTTTCCCTAAATGCATGTCTGATGTCACTATTGATTTCAAGCCTCCCACCCCTAAAGTAAAGTTTGTGCTGACTTGTGTGTATGCATTAAAACCTGGTCCCTCTAGACTATACTTAATAAGGGAATCCTGCGCTTAACCTCTATTATGGACCTATTAAATATTTCTACTGTGTGTCCCTGATTCCAGACTAAGTTCCTTGAAGGTAGAAGCCCTGTCATACTTGATATTCTCAGTTCTGCCATTAGTCTTAGTAAATGTTAGTCTGAAAATGCCGGATTTGGGGGGTTCTCATTAAAAGGTGTTAGCATTGTTTACTGTGGGCATAAAGGTAACAAAATAATTGCTTCTTTAAGAAGCTTTGCTGTCCAGAGAGGAAACATAAAATTGTGTACCTAGGGTGTACCGGTAATAAAAATGTTGTAGGAGGGTTGATACAGGTGTCAGTTGTTAGGAAACCTTGACAATGAATGCTATATGGTAACTGTTAAGTTTTTAAATTATAAGTAACATAAGCATCCTACTAAATTTTAAAGTGAATTTCTTTTAACTAGGGCTTCCGTTACAAGATGAGGTCTGTGTATGCTCACTTCCCCATCAACGTTGTTATTCAGGAGAATGGGTCTCTTGTTGAAATCCGAAATTTCTTGGGTGAAAAATACATCCGCAGGGTTCGGATGAGGACAGGTATGTTGTATGTGCCCTCAGATATGATTCAGAAATTGTAAGTCTTTTGAAGCCTGTTTTTTTGGGTTGGTTGTGACTATAAGTATTTCAGAATTGTCTAAGGATAACTTTGAACTTGTGATCCTCCTGCCTCTTTCCCAAATTTCTGGGATTACAGGCATGTGCCACCATATCTGGCTGCATTGTGATGTTTTGATGGACCTATCATAAGTAGAATGATCAAATTAGGATATTTAACATGTTCATCTCCTATTTCTTGGTGATAAAAATTTTTAGATTCCAAAAAAATCTGTGGAGTAGTAGTTACTAGCCTACATTCTGCCTGGGTTTAAATTTCAAGTCTTGCTTGGAGCATTTTGTTTCTCTGTAGCTTATTGTACTCATCTGTTTAGTAGGAACTATATTATGACTAAATGAGTTTAAAATTGAAAAGCACTCAAAATAGTGCTTGTCTAATACATAGTAAACACTGAACCTTTAGTTTTATGTTTTGGGTTTTTTTTTCCCAGTGTGCTCTTGGTTAGGGTGGGGAAGAGGGGAAAGAAAGGAGATCGGTGCCAATTTCTATGTAATAGCTGTTTTCTGCAACATTTAATGAGAATCCCCATGTAAAAAATAAACTTATACTAAATATGTATAAATAAAATATGTACAAAGAGTTGGTACAGAACTTTGTTTTTGGTTCAGGAATTGAACCCAGGGGTGTGTAACCACCACTAAGCTCCGTCCCTAGTCCTTTTTTATTTTGAGACAGGGTCTCTCTAAGTTGCTGAGGCTGGTCTCAAAGCCTCCCAAGTTATTAGGATAACAAGTGTGAACCACTATGCCTAGCTTGGTATAGAGCCAACTAAGTTGTACTGTCTACATGATTTAATTGAGTCTGACTATGATTCATTCCAGCCAGAACACAAATTTTAAAATTTTGGCTGATATAAGCCAGATCCTATAAAGCAAAAACCTCAAGAGAAAATTGGTTGTATGGAATTTTAAATGGAGTTAATTACTAGTGGGATTTAAGTATTTGTTTATTCTAACACCATGCAAATGCTTTTTTCCCTTTTCAGGTGTTGCTTGTTCAGTGTCTCAAGCTCAGAAAGATGAATTAATCCTTGAAGGAAATGATATTGAACTTGTTTCAAATTCAGGTTTGTATGTTCTCAATACCAATTATGCCTGCAAAATCTTGTTTAAATTTTAAATAAAAAGTTGACTCTGGGCTGGGATTGTGGCTCAGCGGTAGAGCGCTCGCCTAGCACGGGCGAGACCCGGGTTAGATCCTCAGCATCACATAAAAATAAAGGCATTGTGTTATATCCATCTACACCTAAAAAATAAATATTTTTTAAAAAGGTTGACTCAGTGATGCTCTGGGAGTTTTAAGTATTTCACTTAAAACAGTCTTGTGTAAGGACAGGGACACAGTGAGAGAAATGTGTTATTAGGCATTTTTGTTGGTGTGAATGTCAAAGTGTACACAAAACTTGATGGTACAGATTGTTCACTGAACATGGTCCTTGGTACAGTCAAGAGACCACGTAGAAAAGTGTATATACACAAGTTGCCAGCAAAACATGGCATATTATTTGGTAACCTTTTTTCAGTAGATAGAAGATTTAGATTAAAAAGTGTAGTAAGTAGTTGTTTATTGATTATCAAGCATCCTGTGTATAATTGTGTTGTATACTTTTGACTGGCAACACAATATTTTTCACATTTGTGAAAAAAGTTTGTTCTTGCTGGCATCACCAAGAACAAATGTGAGTGATGTGTTCACTAGTACAGTGTCACTAGATGTAGGAAATTTTTTGTCTCTGATATTACCTTATGGAATCATTGCTGTATATTTGGTTCATTGTTAACCGAAATGTGCTGTACCTGATTGCTTTTTATGATGAAATAATTGACTTTTTTTTTTTTTTATTCCTATAGCCGCTTTGATTCAGCAAGCCACAACAGTGAAAAACAAGGATATCAGAAAATTTTTGGATGGTATTTATGTTTCTGAAAAAGGAACAGTTCAGCAGGCTGATGAATAAGATCTAAGAAGTAGGTTCTTTAGTGTCTGTTTTTGTTTTGTGTTACTAGGGATTAAACTCAGGGCTTTGCACATGCTAGGCAAGAGCTCCACCATTAAGTTGTATCCCCAGCTATTTATGCTAAGTTACCTAGGCTGGCCTAGAACTTGTTATCCTCGTCTGCTAAGTAGTTGGGATCACAGGTGAGCACTATCATGCCTGCTAATGTCTGTAAGATTGATTACTCTTTAGATGGGTTTTTAATATACTGAGACTTAAATAGCATGAGCAACGTGTCTAAGCTCCATTCCTCATTCTCCAAAAAGAAAGAAGACTTAAATTGAAATTATATTAATGGTAGAGAATGGAGCACAGTAAATTCTAAGTTTACAGTTTACTATGAACAATATATTTAACGATAATTTACAACTTTAATGGACAAAGGTAACTGATGGAGATATTTTTATTTCTTTTTACAGTTGTCC